GACATTGATCAACTTTCTGAAAGTATTAAAAATAATGAAGAAGCAATAATCACACTGCACGGTCAACTCCAGAAAGAAATGGCAATCTTATCAGAATCACTTAGTAAAACAGATGATGAAATAAAAGTTGCATTAAGGCAAAACATTCTTTTAATCGCAAACCGAATTGATAACATAAAGAATAGCATGATTAAACACAACGAACTTAAGAACAAATTTGCTGAAGCTGAGAAAAAGCTACAAAATATGTATAAGTTAGAAATAAAAGAAGAAATAAAAACGTTAAAAGATGACTCAACGGAATTGTTTAATACATTTTCTGAAAAGTTTGATGAATTCAAAGCACAACTAGAACAATCTGCTTCACAAAGAAACGATGCTCAAGATGGAGAAATTAATAATTTAAAAGTTAAATTAAATCAAATGAAAGATTTGCTTACTAATAATCTGCAGAAAGAAATTACCAGACTTGATGTGGATGTTAAGAAAAATGCAGATGATACTAGAGATGCAGTTAACAAAATAGATACAAAAATAGAAAGTCTCGAAGAGGTTCAAACAAAACGTGTTAATGATTTAGGTAAAACAATACTTGATACAGTCTCAGACCTTTCAGAGGCGAAAAGGGCGATTTCTGATATTATTAACAACAAAATATATCATGTTCCTTTATTACATATGCGGAATGATTCTACTCTAGAAGTTAAAGTTTTACCTACTACTTACGAAATCGGTAAAAATAATCGTTATATTAAAACTCATAATCTATTTAAGTTTTTTAATTATCATTATTCACCTGTTGTAAATTATAATGATTATATAGAAGAGGAACTTGATATGAATATAGGTGACTTTAGAAACGTGAGTGGTTTTACAACTAAAAAAGATGGAACATACTACATTAATATAAAACTTATAATAAAGGGTAAAAGCGACTTTTTATTGATATGGCAGGAAAATTACAGATCTGAAAACGAAGACAGGACTCATGAAGTACTTTTAAAAAGATCAACAGTACTGATGAAAAATTTTTTGAAGACGTTATAAAGCAACAGTTTTTAAAGAATACATCAATTGCAATTATTCCAGTCTCGGTTACTGACCAATTATTTACTATTGAAAAAGGCAGCTACATTAGATTTACATATTCTTGGGAATAAATTATATTCAAAAAATTACCTTTAAAAATGAAGACACCAACAGCTCCGGATCCTTTATATCCAGAATTACCAGTAGAAGATGGACAAAATTATAGATTACAGAAGATATCAGAAATAGAAAAAAAATTAATTAATGAGAGGGATACTCGTAAATCATTATACAAGAAATATAAACGCGGAATTAATATAACTGACGGTGTTGATACTGGTTTAATATCAACATCCGTTATTTTAGCCGGTACTAGCTTAGCTATTCCTTTTATGTTACCTTTAGGAATTGCAGCCGCTGTATGCGGAAGTTTAGGAGTATGTGTTAAATTTATTAGACGTAAATTACAATCAAAAACAAAAAAAAACATTATGAGATTAAAACTATTGCTGATAGTAAATTAAATAGTATAAAAGATTTGACTTCAAAAGCTTTAACAGACGGACAAATATCTGAAAATGAATTTAAATTGATTTTAGATGAATTAGATAAATATAATAAATTGAAAGATAGCATACATTCAAAACAAACAGGATTGAGTGAGACAGAAAGAAAAAAGTTAATAGAAAAGGGAAAAGCACAGGCTTTAAACGAGTTAAAAAAAAAAGGTAAATGTATAATTTTATTCACTAAAGTTACAATAGTAAATGATCCTCCACCTATTTATTCAAGCATAAACTAATATTTTAATTCCTTGTACAATAAAAAACTGCAAAATCCTTCAACCGCCTAATCCTTTAGCCTTAGGACTGAGTTATTCTTTATTTGTGTGCACCCTAGCCCTAAGACTTGTTGGTTTCGGCACTTTTCTTAAGCTATTCACCTGGAAGCTATCCTGCTCGGGTTATTACTTCGCTTGTTAGGTCACCTTTAACCCCGTTTGATAACCTCTCGAAACCTAAACCAGAGATCATCAGAGGTAAGGCAACCATTCTGTAAATCCATACTTGGTAAAGAATTCTTTTCAGTGCACACAAACCCAAGTATGAATATACAGGTAGCGAACTTTTCCGAACACTATCTTCCCTAGCAGCGAATAGAGTCATACACAGTGCCTACACCCAGACTAGAACGGCATTCAGACATTAATGTAATATGAAATCTACCTATATATATAGGTGTATTTTTCTTCCGACAAATTGACTGGTTTTAAAATTGCATAATTTACAATATATTTCTCGTTCATACCAAGATGTTATTTAGACATGATAATAAAACATAAAATTTAAATATATATTTATATGTATATGTGTATATGTGAATTTTACATTGTTTTAATTTGTTAAAGGGAGGTAATGTTATCGGAAAACAGTATTAAAAATAGATATTATGTTTAAGTTATCAGACCATAAAGTTAACCACAAAGAGCAGTCAGTCGTTTCAATGTGTTTACATAAAGTACATTAATAAACCACAGGCATTTATAAATTTAAATGTAGTATTTTAAGTGCATAGATTTAAACGTTAGTGAATTTTCGTTTTATAAAATTTTAATGTTTTCAAGGGATCCCTCTAGAGGTTAATTTTTTTTTATTTTTTATGGGTCGATGGTTCGAGTCCCGCCGGGGATAAAATTTTTTTTTAGGGCGGGTACTATAATCATGATTTAAGCATTTCTGTACTTTTCAATTTGGGGGTATAACGGGATGATATTTTTTTTTTTTTTTTTTTAGGGTGGGGGAGAAGCGTAATAACCTATATTACTAGTAAAGTCAAAAGATACAAATGAATCAGACAGTTGTGAAACAAGTGGTAAAACTGAAGATGATATGGATGACAAAGGCTGTGATAATACAAAAAGTGATATGATTTGAGATGGTGTTGACACCAGTAAAGGAGAAGTTGATAATGATGGGAAAAATATATCAATGTGAAACCAAAAAAAAAAAAAAAACAACAGAAAATGTGGTAGAGTTCACAGATACGGAAATTAGTCTGCATCATGTGAAAGGAGATAAGTAAGTTTTATTTTCTGATCATTTTACCTCATATATATGCGATTCAACGCATTTTTGACCCTCCCCCTTTGTTTAAAAAAGTGATCTTTTTTTTCCTTCATCGCCAAAGAAATTTTGGACTTGTTAGAGGCTAAAAATGGCCTTAGGTCAATCGTAAGGTAACGAGCAACCAACACTGAAAAGCCTTTGACTTAATCTCAATCCATTGAAAAGTGGCAGCACTCTGAAATCAGTTTTGATGGGAAAGATAAGCGCAAAATAATGATTTTTGGCAATTTTGAGATGCCCCTTCATGGCAATGGTAACCCTTCGTTACCCTTACAAAGGCTATGGTCCAGTTAACATTTGTGCCATGTTTGGTCAGCATTAAATCATTTTTCACAGTTTCATAGCAATTTGAACTTGTAACAGGAGGCTTTTCAATGAAAACAGCCATTTTTCACAAAATGATTATGAAGTTATGGGTTTACGACATTTTGTTAACCTCTTTTGGATGTAGTTGATTATATTTTATCCAATTAAGATATGCACAGATCTGTTAAACGTTTCTGCTATTATGAGTTTGTTCAAAGACCACAAACCTTCAAGAAAATTTAAGAAGATTGGTACCAAGCTTGGTTTTGAGTTATCCTGATCCAGTTCAGCAGTGATATTTTATTTAAGTTCTAACTTATTTCAACTAAGCTTTTTTATGAGGAAGATATATTAATTAAAAAAAATGCACTTAGAAGTAATAATGATTAAGAGTCTCTGTGGCTGAGCAATCAAGTTAGTCAACTTTAAGTCACTTGCCCCTCACTACTGTGGGTTTAAATTCCATTATACGAGGAAGCTATCTAGGTAGCCTGCAAAAGGTTGGTTGTTTTACTCAGGTGCCCACTTGTGTTGTATTGTGTGACATAAAATCCAACAAAACATAGCCTTGCCAACCTAAAAAGGTAAGAAGGAAAGGAACATAAGAAGGAAAAGGTCCATGCACAGATTTAGAAGGATTAATGACATGCAGTCTAATCATTATGAAAACTTCTATTTCTTATTATGCCCCCCTTCCAAGAAGAGTGAGTATATTGTTTTGCACATGTTGGTCTATCCGTCTGTCAGACCACATGGTTTCCGCTAATTATCTTGAGAACTATTGATAATAAAGTCTTCATATTTCACATATTGATTGGTCATAACTAATTGATGATCCTTATTGTTTTTGGGGTCAAAGGTCAAGGTCACAGGAGCCTTAAATGTCAGAATGGTTTCCGCTCAATATCTTGAAAACTATCACAAAAGTCTATTTTACTTTTTTCCATAACTGAACACTTCCATGTTCCAATTTATGGCAAGTTTCTATAACAAAATAACCAATCATGTGAGTCAAGGGCTAGAAAGGGGGGCATATGTGTTGTTCGACATTTCTTGTTTAATATTGCACTGAATGATTATTATTCTTTTTTATTTAATGACAGAAATAAGTTAGCAAGAAGTTTTTCCACTCAGAGTACAGTGATCAGATCTTCTTAGGTGATGATGAGGCTGTTACCTATGAGAACAGGTTGGCGTTATTTTCAGATTGTTTTCAATCCGACTTCCTTTTTGAGATTCTTAGCTGTGTTTAACAGTGTTAAACGCTTTTCATTTTTGGGTCATTTTGCACACTTTTGTTCTGGAAATTTTGAAAGTTGTTGGGTCAGATCAATTGGTATATAAAATCTTGCAAAGATTATCCTGTCCTAATGTCATAAAACCTCAGTAGAGTCCCTTTAAGCTATTGGCAATTTCTATAATAGGCATTGAGGGCTAATTTAGGAGTATATACCACATAATAGATACTAAATGCGTATAATATGCTTTCCTGGATTGTACCATAGGATGGCAAAGATATTATCAAACAATTGTAAGCATGTACAAAATATTTTAGAAATCAACTGGTGGGCCAAGGTTATCGGCCAAACAAAGGCGAGAAATGAAGAAGGCTAAGAAACAAGGACAGCAGTCACAGTTACCAACACAGACTGAAGGTGAGGAAGAGGAGGAGAAATCATGGCTGCCAGAAGATAACCAGGGACGAGGACGGAACAAGGGGAAAAAAGAAAACAAAGAACAAACTGAAATACAGCAGCAACCTAAGAGGGGACAAAAGGTAGATAATTTATTCTTTATCCTGCTGAAAGACTTTGCCACCATCATCATTTCAGTCTGACAGGCTCTACAATTTTGACTGGCTGACTTTAAATTTTCTTACTCAGTGTTGATAATGGACAATCCCAGAAATGGAAGCTGAATAAGTCCATTTAACAAATCCAGTAGTTTAGGTTAAACTAAGTTGTTAGCATTGTTGTATATGTATCATGTTTCATTAAGAATAATTCAGTAACAGCTGTTCAGTAAACATATGCATTATTAGTATGATGTAAGTTTGGATGAAATCTACAACTACAAAACTAGTCTATATTTCGTCACAGTCAGAAGTCATATAAGAAAATACAAATTAACCAGAAATAAATATTTATATATATTGTTACTTCAGGCCAAGATGAAGAAATTGAAGGACAAATATAAAAATCAGGATGAGTAAGAGAGACAACTCCGTATGGAAATTCTTGCTGTGAGTTTCATTGTTTGTTTGCTATGCTAACAGGGCAACTATGTGTTAATTGTAAATAGTTACTTTAAAAGTTTGAAAGGTAATTGAAGCTACAAATTTATTCTTGAATTTCACAAACTTTCTGTGATGTTCAGGTTTACATTAAAAAACGATGAGAAAACAAAATTACTTCAATAATTTAAGTACATGTTTTACAACTACAAATGTACATTTGTATACCAAAGCAATCAATCTATGGCAAATAGGAAGAAAACTCTTCAGCTGAATGTTTGTATTTAATTTTACGAGAGCACACTGTACATAAATCAAACTTATGATTGATGATTGATCAAGGCCGGAATATGTAGTTTCACTGTTTGATTAGTAAATCATTCTACCTTGAATACCCAGGGAAATGGCAAATGATTAAAACTACACTTTTTATTCTGAGATGATCAGATAGTTTTCTTAATCTACAGTCTGCTGGCAGTAAAAAAGAAGATAAAAAGAAGAAAGGAAAGAAGGATGAAAAAGGACGTCCACAATCTGCAGTGGAGAAGTAACATCATCAACAACAATAACAACAGAGAAACAAGCCAGAACTTGTTGATATCATTATTAAAGATGTAGCAAATACAGCAATCAAAGGTATGTTATGTACATGTAATTTTTGTAAAGATATTTTTTTTTAAATAATGAGTTGTTATCTACCCGTGAAATATTTTGAGCTTTCATGTATAAAGGTTTTCATATTGAATTTTGAGGTGCATTCCTTCCATAAATGTAAAGTCTGCTCTGACAACACATAAATCTGATTGTCCCAGAGCTGTGATATTTATGTTGGCCTGTATTTATTCTCAGATAAATTATTTCTGAGACAGTTTTATAATAGAAAATGTGTTGTCATATATTTATTAAAAATGGCTTAATTTACATATTGGAAGGTTCGGTTTTCATGGCCAAGCGGTTATGGTTAATGGCTCATTAATACTTGTAATAATGCGAGCCAGTAAATCTTGAAAGTAGCCATAGTACCTTTGTCACTTAGTTAGTTAATTTCAAACCACTTGACCCTCACCCCTGTGGCTAAAATCATGTCAGGGACTTGAGTTATATCATGTGAAAAAGCTATCCAGCTAGCTGATTCTTTTCAGGTACCCCTCATGCCTGAAATTATGATAAGAGGAGTACCTGAGGTCTTCCACCTCCAGTACGTTAGGCTGTAAATTAAAATGAATTTATAAATATGATTTCAGATGTCTCCACAAACAATATAGAGATAGTAGAAGCTCAAGTCAATGACGATGATGAGAAGTTAGCAGAGGGCACACAAGTAAGTCCAGCAGATTTGAATTCTTTGACTGGTATACCAAATATTGAGGATGAGTTGCTGTTTGCTCTGCCAGTCTGTGCTCCTTACAATGCTCTGACAAATTATAAGTAAGTGACAAATTAAAAGTAAATTTGACAAATTATAAGCAAAGCTGTCAAATTATTTTTGATCTGACAAATTATTCTTAAGACAGAAAAAGTGTAAATAAGACTGTGGCAAATAGTAATTTAATCTTAAAAATTGTAAGTTTTTATATTTTTAACCCTTGTTAAATTATTTTGTTACATGTTTGACACTTTGAGAGTAAGATACTGCTCTCGTTCTGTATTTTAGTACAGACAAATAACTTCTGCTGATTTTGTGTAAAGATTAAAGTTCATGTAGATGTTGTGGTGTATTTCCTTTCTATATGACTTTTGAAAATAACGTCACTTCTCAAAATATGTGGTCATGTAACTTTAATCAAGGAAAATGAGCTTTAAATCATAATGTATTTATTTCGTTATTCTCAAAGTTGGAAATAATCTTTCAAATACAAGGTCAAATTGCTGCAAGGATCAACAAAAAGCGGAAAAGGTATAGAATTAATTAGATTATTAAGTCAATCGTTCTAAGATGTAAAAACTAAATACATTGAACATTAAACTTAACAATGCACTTGTTAATGAATTTAGCAAGATTTTACTTGTGTATCAAAATATTACATCTGAAATAAATCTATGTATTGTTTTAGTACATGGAGGGGTTTGGAGCCTATATATCTTAACCACTGGTTGAATGTTTGGCCTAACCTTTTTGTGTTTGATACTGACCTAGCAATGAATAAAAACATGGGGAAGGGGTTAAATTTTTCAATGCTTGACTTCTGTAAAGACATATTAAAATTTGTTCAAAAGATAAACATGTTTGTAAAAAGGAACTGTTTTCTTGTCAGCTGCAAAAATTGCCATCAACATGTTCCAGTATGATAAAACTATAACACCAAGAGAAAGAGACCTTGTAAAAATATTAAAGGTGAGCTTTATGTTATTATATTGCTTATAACCAGTAAGTTTCTGATGGGTTATACTTGTGGGAGAATATAGCCATAGAATAAACTATATGATGTGAGATGCTTTCTGAGCGTTATAGAGATCTTAAAAAAGCTATTTAAATAATGAAAAATATTGCAAACTTTTTTAAAAAAATAAAAGAAAAACGCGAGTACATGGTGTAAATGTTGGTTATTTCTCTGTTAGATTCCAATTGTATGCCTTGCAAAATGTTGTATTATTTTGTATCGGCCTAATATTCAAGTAAAAGTAAATTCAATATATTTTATGTTCGATGCTTTACTTTAATTTAAGAGGAATCAGAATTCTACTGTGTAGATACTTTTACTAAATGAAAGCTTTCAAAATAATAAATCTGTTGATTCATGTTCATTGTCAGCAAAAATGTTAAAATTATTCAAGTTATTATCAATAAATAACTGATAAAAAGGATTTAAAAATGCAAATACTTGTTGAATAAAAACTTAATGCGACAAATAAAAACATGATTAGCCTGTAACCATTTTGAAATTAACATATATATATTGGAGAAAATTAGGGCACATTAAGGGGAAAATTGCTGATGGTACATGTATATATACAAGTGTCGTCCATAGCTAATGTGAATATCTGCGTGTCACAAGTTGGCACAAACTATATATAATTAAATGTCAAAATATGGTGTGTCTCAGAATATGGACGGTAGGTTATTCGACTTTTTGCCTAAATAATTTCAAATAATTTAAGAAGGGGCTTCATAGGTTTTTCTCGCACAAATTTAGTTGAAAAATCACTATTTAAAGTTAAATCTTCTGTGATCTAAATAAGAAATAAGTTTAAGAAAACATTTAAGAAATGTCATTTGTTTGTAATGTTTAATAAATATATTTTCTAAAAGATATATCTTATAACTTATATATTTTGCAGGATGTGGATATATCACGGAACATTCCGGGAAAAGTAAAGGTCACAGCCCCAAACATTAGTAAAGTGAAGAGAAAGTGAATGAAAATTGCAAAAAAGTGATTAAATCAGAGCAAGAAAGTGATTAAATCAGACAATAAAACCTAATTGTGCAATTGAATATTATAATGATAAATCAATACTTACATTTAAAATGGATTATAAAACTATGATAAAAGAAAGATGATTTCTTTTCAAATAGTTGTTGAATAAATACTTAATTTCTTCTATCATTTAGACATGGTATTTAGTACTTTTTCTGAAACTCTGAATTTTCTAGAACTTTAAAATGTAGGAACTAAACAGAGTGAAAATGTAAATATTTAATAGCTCATAAAAATTAATTATCAGGATAGTTTTGTGAAGAAAACTTTGAGCTTACTTGAAACATTCTTGAGTTGACCAAAACATAGAACATTATACGTAAAAAAAGACCATAGACTAAAGGTGAGATCTTGGTTGTTTACTCAATGGTTTTTCATGAATTGTATATCAAAAATTGCTATAACTCAAGAGTAAAAGTGAGTGTATGAATATATTTTTCTCTTCTTTTGTTAAGTTTTATAATATCTTGATGCAGCAATGTGAAATAAAGAAATAATGGCTTTTTAAAAGACAAATATTTGTTTTGTTGATGTTCATAATCGTTAATTTTCAAATACCATTATGCGTCATGTTGATTTATGTAATGCAATGTTGTAGGCAAATGATGAACAGAAGTCAATTATTATACACTTTTAAACTTGAAATATATTTTATTTGTGGTAAAGGGGCATGTATTGGGTGACAGAGGGAAAAGAAACGGAGGCTTTTTTCATAAATAAACAACATGAACAATGAGACATTATCAAAAAGATGTTATTATTATACGCAAATATCTCCATACAGGACATGCCCCTGGAAAGGAAACTTAATTTTAATTTACCTTTTTGCAATACACAAATCTGACCTAAACTAATCCATGTAAGGGCGGGCACATAAAGTCCTTTTCAACTGCAATGAGGCCAATGATCTTACAGTGTTTGGTTTGACTAAAAGCTAAAAAAGGATGTGGGGGAAACAAAAATAAAAGTAACTAAAAGTTGATTTATACAAATTGATTCAATAAATTATATATTGCATCAATTCACTTTCAATTTAATGCTTAACATATAAACAGAGGAACATAGATGTACATACATTGGACAGTTTACAATATATTGTAAAACAGCATTTGGCAAACACGTGAAATGAAAAGACTTGTATGGAAAGAAAATGTAGTGCATCAGTCACAGTCTCTTACGCCTGATTGTGTAACGATTTAAAATCAACTGGTGACTGGTCTCCAATATCCAATCTTTGATTTGAAAGTTTGGCATTTAATAAGCTGGCAGTTACAATGGTGAACGAAAAGGGGCGCCCTTGGACAAGTGGTTAAGGTCGTTGATTTCAAACCACTTGCCGCTCACCTCCGTGGGTTCGAATCCCGACAAGGACTTTGAATGCTGTCATGTGAGGAAGCTATCCAGATAGCATACAGGTCGTAGGCGGTTCTACTCAGGTGCCCTTTCGTGCACGGCACCTGTGGTCTTCCTCCACCAGTAAAGTCGGAACGTCGCCACATGGCCATACTGTGTCAGTGCGACTTTAAACACAAATAAACATAAAAACAAACGAAATAAAAAACCAGTCTTTAATCATATATTTGTGTTTATGCATTTTATAAGTATGAAACATTTACAGATATCAGATGTTTTATTGAAAGCAGACACGCAAAATTACAAAGATAGAAATGTAAAAAAAATGAACTACTATCAATTGAAACTAGCAGGCAATTACACACATATGTTAACAATATTTTCATTTCTTGTTTTATCATGTACTAGCTGAATATTGCATTTCAAGATTTCATGTTGTATGGCTTTGTTATTATCAGGTTCAGCTAGTTATCTGATGATTGCTGGCCACATGAGGTCAAACTCCATGTGGGGCAAGTCGTTGAAACTTATTATTATATTTTGTGCTTATTAATGGTTTAGTTTAGGAGTGGATTAAGGAATACAGTGTGTCTTTAAGGTGATAGCTTCCTTCACAGTCAAAGTTAAATAAAATCTGTATAAATGAAGATTACATGTGTCATATTTCAGTTAAGTGTATTTAGGATTATGACCCTTATTCTACTGCAATAAAGCAGTAGGATAAATGCTTGTGATGAGTCTTTTTGTCAATGTCTGTTTTTGTTTATTCTTGTAACACTTTGAAAACTTTAACTTTATTTGGCATCCCAACTAACAATCCCTTGGTATAAGCGCAATATGCAAGACTGCTTGGTTTATCTAATCCATCATTTTTATCTATTAAGATCTTCACTTTAGTGAGGTATCTCGATAATTGATGGATATTATCAGAAGCAGCTCCACACACATATACTGATCCATAATCATCAATAGCAAGTTGACGAGGCATTTTCAAATCATCATCCATGTAAATGGCCTTCTTCTTACCAGCAAATGTCAAACAGGTCACGGTGTGTTTGTTCGGATCAGAAACATATATCATAGTATTGTCAGGACTGACAATCAAGCGCCAAGGAGTAATAAACAGTTCCTGACCATTATCATCTTGTTTAAATGTTTTCTGTATTGTTCCTGTCATACTTAGAATCATGACACTACCTGGATACAAATATGAAACCACAAGACAGTGATTCCTGTAGGCAATACCAGTGCAAAGACCTTTTCCTGGCATCTCGGTGATACTTGAAACTTTCATATCTCCTGAAAATGTTATCAGTCTGATTAATCTTTCATTTGGAAATGTTACGGCAACTTTAAAGTCTGAAACTTTTGTAATGTCCCACGGACTTGTATAAAATTCTATGTTATCCATACAATTTGCCTGTGACTTTTCTATTTTGTATATGACTAGTCTACACTTTTTCCAATCTGATATCAAAAGTGTATGTTCAGATAAGACAAGTAAAGAGGATATGACGTCAATGTAACAGTTGATATCAAAATTGAAAGCAACTTTTGTTTCTATTTTTTCAAATGTGAAAAATCTTGTTTCACTCTCTAGAGATTGTTCTGTTGGTTGAATGTTGGAGGTTGTGTGTTTGTAGCACTGAATGCAGACTTGTCGAATTTGTTCAGTATTTTGTTGTAAGGGTTTCACACATTTGTTTTGCTAACTGTAATTTGATAAAAAGTTCACAGTTTTGACCTAATTTTTTGGCTTGGTCTAGATCAGAAGTAAGAACCTTTAAATTCTTTACCAAATATAAATGTTCTGACCTTAGAACCTTAAAGTTTGTGTTTGTGCTAGCAACCTGTTCTTTCATATCTGTTTCAGCTTTTGTTATCTTGTTTTTAAATTTTCTATCCTTTTCGGATAACTCTTCAACTAGTTCCAACCTTTCTTTCTTCAACCTTTCAATGGTCTCTTTCATCTTCATATTAAAATCTTCAATGAGATCTTGATGCAGTTGTTTAAAGGCTTTAAATAGTTTATCTTTGTGCTCCTTGCATGTTTCAGTTGCCTTTTCTTCTTGTTTATCAACCACTTCACTTTTGACATTCAAAAGCTTTTCTGTGTCTTTTATATCAGCATACAATTTATCCAAGTTCTGTTGAAGGTCTTTAAAGTCTTTACTTTTTTGTATGCCCGAAGCAAGTGTTGATAAATGGTTCACGTCTCTACAGTTTACATGCTCATTATCCTTGCATATTTGGCAGGCTTCTTTGCTACACACAGAACAGTAAAACTTGATCAGCTGTTGAGGATGTGTGGAACACTTCTCAAAATAGAACGATTGTGGCATCTTTTTACGATCTTGAATTATGTGAGTTTGTGTTTCTCTCTTATGATATTTTAGGCAGGTCACACATTTATATTCTACACAATCCACACAGAAAGCTACAGCTGTTGAATAGCCATCACCATGGTTTGCACATTCTTCACAGTACATTTCCTTAACTCTGTCATCGTGTTGTGTTACTGAAGCACTGTCATTCGCAATCATTTTATTTTGTTCAGTCATTTTAGGAATATCTTCATTGTATCGACTTTTTTGTTATTATATCCTTTCCCTTGAAGTAAAGTAAATGTAATAGAGTTTGAATGTTTTTCTTTAAGACATTGTCATGATTATTTTAAGGTTACTTTATAGGCCATATATATAATGATAAGTGATCATATGAGTGACCAAAGTTTTTGTTTAATTTTACCATACGACAGTTTGATAAGCCAGTATCAGTTTGATAGTGATTGTAAATTGTTATCAATGAAATGTCAGTTCATTCATGTCATAAAAACTTCTACCTTTGACTTTCTTAATTATACATACCTCTTAGGCGGTTATTATATAAATAAATAATAATAGCTCTAATGTCCTGATAAAAGAAGTAAATCAGATATATTACTTTTTATTTAGTTTTTGATATATTTTCCCCATTATTCATATAGTTAATTGTATACATAGTAAATTTAATTTAGATTTACTGATATTTCAAGATTTCATGTTGCATGACTAAGTTGTTATCACATTGAACTAGTAATCCAACGACTGCTTGGTCGCATTGGTTCGACAAGCTGTTGCTTCCTTGATAAAAAAAATGAAATATTTACTGAATACGGGTTGTTTCCTAGAACGGATTCAAGAATACAGAGTTTGTATTAAAGTTGATAGCTTCCTGGGCAATCATACTTAATAAGGACACTCATTCCATCCTAATGAGAGGAGTATTTAAATTTAGTTGTTGATGATTCTTTGTGTAATAGTTGCTATTGTTTATTCTAGTAACACATTGAAAACTTTAATTTTGTTATACATTCCCACAAACAATCTCTTGGTATTTGGGCAGTAGGCCACACTCTTTGGTTGATCTAATCCATCACTTTTATCTATCAAGATCTTCACTTTTGTGAGGTCATTTGATAATTGATGGATATTTCCAGAGTGAATACCACACACATATAGTGATCCATATTCATCAACAGCAAGTTGTTGAGGTCTTTTCAGTTGATCATTCTTGTAGACAGCCTTCACCTTACCAGCAAAGGTCAAACATGTTACAGTGTGTTTTTCCCAGCCAGAAACATAAATCACAGTATTGTCAGGACTGACAGTTAAGTACCAAGGTTCAATAAACAGATTTCGACCATTATCATCTTTGTCAAATGTTTTCACAATTTCACCTGACATACTTAGAATCTTAACACTAGCTGGATTCCAATATGAAACTACAAGATAGTTATTTTTGTAGGCAATACCAGTACAAGGACCATTTCCTGGTATCTCTGTGATATTTAAAACTTTCATGTCTCCAAAGAATGTTATCAGTCTGATTATTCTTTCTTTTGGAAATGTTACAGCAATTTTATAATCTGAAACCCTTATAATACCAAATGGATTTGTTTTAAAGTTCATGGAATCAATATAATTGGCTTGTGACATTCCTAGTTTGTATATGTCTAGGTAACACATTGCATAATCTGATACTAGAAGTGTATGTTCAGATAAAACAAGTAAAGAGGATATGACATCAATGTGACAGTTGATATCAAAATCAAAGACAACTCTTCTTTCTACATATGATGCATGTACCTTTGCAAATGTGAAAAATCTTCTTTCACTCACTAGAGATAGTTCTTTTGCTTGTATGTTAAAAGTTTCAATTTTGAAGCGCTGTATGTAGGCTTGTTGAATTTGTTTAATATTTCGGTGAATGTTTTCACACATTTGTTTTGTGAACTTCAATTTAATAAGAAGTTCACAGTTTTGACCTAGTTTTTGGTCCTCTTCTAGTTCAGCAATATGTGCCTTTAATTGTTTGACCAAATTTAAATGTTCTGACTTGAGAACCTTAAAATCTTTGTTTGTGCTAACAACCTTCTCTTTAACATCATTTTCAGCTTTTGTAATTTGGTTTTTAAATTTTCTTTCGTTTTCAGATAACTCGTTAACTAGTTCTAACCCTTCTTTCTTCATTCTGGCAATTGTTTCTTCTATCTCCTTATCAAAAGCATCAATCACATCTTGATGTTGTTGTATGAAAATTTCTATTAGTTTCTCTCTATGCTCCTTAAATGCTTCAGTTGCCTCTTCCTCTTGTTTATCCACCACTTCACTTTTAGCATGCAACAGCTTTTCTGTGTCTTTTATTTCCTCTAATAATCGATCCAAGTTCTGTTGAAGATCTTTTAAGTCATCACATTTTTGTATACCTGAAGCAAGGGTTGGTAAATGATTCACATCACCACATTTTACATGATCATTATCTTTGCATTCTTGGCAGGCTTCTTTGCTACACTCAGAGCAGTAAAACTTGATCAACTGTAGAGGATGTGTGGAACACTTCTCAAAATAGAAATCTTTTGGCATACTGTCACTATCTTGAATTTTGTGAGTTTTTGATTGTCTCTTATGATATTTTAGACAGGTCACACATTTATATTCCACACAATCCACACAGAAAGCAATAGCGGGTGTAAAGCCATCACCATGATTTTCACATTCTTCACAGAACATTTCCTTCACTTCGTTAGATTCTTGTGATGATAATGCGCGGACATTAGCAGACATTTCTTACTTTATTTTCCAGGAATTGATTGTCTCAATTTTTTTTTATTATATCGTTCCTCATAAAAAATGCAGTTTAGAGTTTAAATGTTTTTCTTTAAGAGATTTTCATGTTTATCATGAAGGTTATTATATAGGCAATACATATCATCATAACTGAGGGACCAAAGATTTTGTTTAGCTTTACCATACGATAGTTTGATAAGTCTGTATCAGTTTGATAGTGTTTAAAGTTAAAATCTGTGCTCTTGTTATCAGTAAAATGTCAGTTCATTCTTGTTGTAAAATCATTTTACAGTTGACTTATCTAGTTAATGCATGCATCTAAGGCTATCATGTTGTAGAGGAATGATACTATTGAATTTAATGCCCAGATAAAAAAGTGAATGAGATGTACTACATTTTAAAGAGTTTTTGGTAACAACATTAACGACAGCTGATGCATGTACATGTACTTTTTATACGCCCGTTTGTAAAACGTGTCGTAATATAGTTTCAACTTGGCGGGCAGCGTCCAAATATTGTCCGGCGCATATCTCCTACACGCATGGAGGAATTTTAATTCACCACTATGAATAGCTGTGTCGCGCACATGAAACAGGTCTATAGGTCAAAGATCAAGGTCACAATTAGAGGCCATTGAAAAGCCTTGTCCGGAGCAAAACTTCTACATTCAAATAGGGATTTAAATATAACTTGGCACAAATGTTTCCCATTGTAAGGCGGAGTGTCGCGTGCAAAATTAACGTCCCTGCAGCCAAGGTCAAGGTCACACATAGAAATCAAAGTTCCGATGAATATATGAAAATGTGTATTCGGATCATTTAGTCATCATTCATTAAGGAATTGAAACACAAATGATCATTACCATGTCTACTGTTGTGAAAAATATGATTTAGGTTTATATATGCAAGTTCAAGGTCACAAAAGATGATAGTTAAGGTCACTAAAGATGATAAAATATAGAGATGTTTTCCAGAACATATCTCGTACACATTTAGAGGTATTCTAATGAAACTTCATGCAAATGTTCACCAATATGAGAAGCACTGTCTTGCGCATGAACTAAATATCTCGCTCAAAGGTCGAGGTCACACTTAGAGGCCATTGCAAAACGCTTGGGATTGCCCGAATAATTCTTCTATATGCATAGAGGGATTTTGATGTAACTTGGTACAAAAAATCACCATTGTGAGGCTTATTGCGCACATTATCCTGGTGCATGCTACCAAAGTCAAGGTCAGATAGAGAGGTCAAAGTTTATGTACATTTAGCCATCATTTATTGCTGGATTGTATCACATTGAATTGATAACTATCATGACTACAAATGTGGTTACATTTTGTAATATAAATTATGGCCTAAAGGTAAACATCGGTTATGCCCTAAATTTCTCTTAGTTTTTATGCCCCCATTATGATAATTACACGTGTTCAAAAACCTTATACTGTTGATAACTCTGTCTTGCTTCATGGGATTCTGAAATAACTTTGCACAATGTAGCATAATGAGACTGTGTTTCGTGACAGCAAGCTTAGCGTTTTGGCTACAAGTTTCAGATCACACTTCGTCACCTTAGTCCAGTAACGGGTTAACTTCTATTAAACTATTTAAGGAGTTAACTCAAAACTGCACTTAGGTCACGACTGAGAGATCATGGTCAGTAGTTTTGTCAAGCCAATTACTTTGTCATGCATCAAGGGATTTTGAAATAACTTTGTATATGAAAGTCAATGTGCTTTACGCGGGACATATAAGCTCCAAGGTCAATGTTACACTTAACAATGACTTCGTGCTTTGCCATTCTTGCTAACGAAAAAGTACAAACATATACCTTTCAAAAAGTATTTTGGAAGTATTCTTATCAAAAATATAAACAATGATTTTATAAACTGAAGGGTGCATATATATAGCTTTATACACTTTGAAATATAGCTACAAATTATAACATTTCAGATACTTAAAATATAGCTTTCCAGAGACTGAAAAGTATAGCATATTATAGAGTATGAAATACAGTTCATATACAGATCCAGAGACTTAATGTATAACATTCCAGAGACTTAAGTATATAATTATAGCATTCCAGACTTTTCAATATGAAAATAAAATGCTGTTTCCACAGCTGATGCTTTTGGACTACAAAGGTCAATGGCCTTTAAGTAAATATTGGTTATGCTCTTTTTGTACTTAATTTGTATTCACCCGCCATGATAATAATGAGGGTATATGAGTCCGAATACCTTGCACTTAAAGATCAAAGATCTACTAGAAAATCGTGTCAGGCCTATAACTATGTAATGATTTAAAGGACATTGAAATAACCTAGCACAAACGTGTAGCATGGTAAGAAGACATTTCATGGGCAAGACCTAGTTCTAAGGTCAAGGGTACACGTCGTCACCGCAGTCACCGTAGTGCAGTGACTAGTTAAATCCTATTAAATTATTAAAGAAGTTAGCCTGTTAATGCACTAAGGTGAGGACTTAGAGATCAAAGGTCAGCAGTTAGAAAATCTTGTTCTGCCTACACCTCTATCAAACACATAGGGATTTTATTTTGAAATTGCTTAACACAAATATGTTACATGATGAAACAATGCATCATGCACAAGACCAAGACCCCTAGCTCCAATTTTTGAAGGTCAAACGTTAGAAGTTGTCCAGTCCATACCTCTGCCATGCATCAATGGATTTGGAAGTCAGTGGGCAGAAGTGTTTTAGCATAACAAGTCCTTGTTATCCTGGCAATTCTGATAATTAATCCGTATTTGGCAATAGTAAGTGTTATTCATCTAGAAACCTATTTAACATTTATTTTTCAAGTTTAATGATCATGTACAGACTTAACTGAGAGTCCATGTGAATATTACAGTAGAAAATTGTTTTTATCGATAGCCATTCTGTCCTGTTACTCAAAAAGGTTCATTTTTGCAGAAAGTTGTATGAAATACCAGCTATGCTGTCCTATATCCACATTATTCTCCGTCCTAAATTATTTAATGGTGGAATCCCTGTCCTTCAGACACATTACTTTTTCTAAACTTAGTTTAATTGTGTCACCTTGACAAGGTCGACATACAGGGGTTTTGTCGGCGGTGTCTGCGGCGTCCCTTACACTCCATATTTTTAGCAAGAATAAGCAGAGCTATCCTAGTCACCCGAGCGTCGGTGTCGGTGTAACCACATATGCTAAAAGTTTTGTAACACCTCAAATATTTTTAAAGTCCATTGACATATGGCACACTTGTTAATTATCATGACCCCAACCTGTAGACAGGAGATAGTAACACTACAGAATTATACCCATTTTTCTACTTAGAATTTACGTAAAAAGTTTTGTAAAACCTCAAATATTTTCAAAGTTCATTGACATATGGCTTTGAAACCTTGCACACTTGTTCATTATCATGACCTCAACTTGTAAAGAGAAGGAGGGAACTCTATAAAGGGTTTTGACCGAATTATGCCCCTTTTGCGATTTAGAATTTACGTTAAAGTTTACGTACTACCTGTAATATTTTCCAAAGTCCATGACATATGGCTTTGAAACTTTGCACTCTTTTTCACCATCATGACCCCAACCTGTAGACAGGAGTAGGTAACTCTATCAAGCTTTCTGATAGAATTATGCCCCTTGTTCGACTTAGAATTTACGTTTAAGTTTGCATACCACCTCAGATATTTTCATATTCCATTGACATCTGGCTTTGAAACAAGATTAATTGTTTACACTTCTTTCCAAGGCCTATAACTGTAACATGGTTTTGAAGAAAAATTTTCCCTTTTGTTAACTTAGAAAATTTTACATTATCAAGCACTAAGAATAGTCGAGCGTTGCTGTCCTGCCGACAGCTCTTGTTTGAGTTATTGCCATTTGTTAATTTTCAGTTTATGTACCAGTTCATGTTATATGTTGAATTCTGCTAAAGCCGGTGCTAGGGGGCAATGACGGTTGTTTGCATTTGACAGTAACGTCCATGAACAGGCTCAATCAGACCAAGCCTGCAACATTTTCAATTTTGTTGTGTTGGGCTTTCTTTAGGGATTATTATTTTCCCTATTTCATACTTTATTTTTGTCAGGGCCATTTCTCTTAACTATAAAAGCTATGTACTTGAAACTTCCTAGGGTGATAGATCATATTAAGAAAAGATGCAGAGCACAAAATCCAGTACTTTGCACTTCATGATTTTTGAGTTATTGCCCTTTATTAATTTTCATACTTTTTGTCCGGAGAATAACCCAGTCACTTTAGGTCGGATTGACTATAAACTTGGTATGCATGCTTCTTTCAATGACCCAAAGTGCAGTGCACTAAAATCGTTACTTTGCACTTCTTATTTTTGAGTTATTGCCCTTTGATAATTTTCATACTTTATTTTAGTCAGGACCAATTCTCGTAAAGAGCTATTGACTTGAATCTTCATAGGATGATGGGTCTCATTGAGAAGAAGTGCTTGTACCCTGCATTTCATGATTTTTGAGTTATTGGCCTTTGTTAATATTCATATTTAATAGGCTTGTCCAGTGAGTTATAGCCTTTTGTTAATTTTCATAATTCATTTTTGTCCGGGCCATTTCTCCTATACTATAAAAGCTATGGTCTTGAAACTTTAGATGATGATGAATCTCATTGAAAAGAAGTGTAGTGTACAAGAAGTACTTTGTACTTCATGATTTTTTAGTTATTGCCCTTCGTTAATTTTCATACTTAATAGGCTTGTCCAGAGGATAAATTGGTCACTATCAGTTTAATTGACTCCATTTTTGGTATGCAAGGTGTTTTATTGACCTGAAATTCAGTGCAAAGAATCCATTACAGAGTCCTCCATTTGATCTGTCAGTGTAAAACTTGTCCATGGTATTTTTATTAGCTCACCTTAGGCCATTGTCTTAAATGTGAGCTTTTGTGATGGTCCATTGTCCGTTGTCCATTGTCCGTCCGTGCGTCAACAATTTCTTTAAACAACCTCTCCTCCTAAATCACATTGCCAAATTTGTTGAAACTTTGATATTCCATACATGTATATGGTAAAGATTAAAAAAATCTTTTTGTGACAATCCCAAATAGCTAAAGCTGAGATATTTGGCATAAACAATCTTCTAGTAAATGTCTACCAAGT